ATAAGATCCTCTGGGTTTTTAAATTTCCTCATGAAGTTAATTTAAACTAGGTAGCATTATTGTACCATTTTATCTTTATGTATCTATTTTATTGCTTTTAGAATGTATAATTTAAAAACAGATTTATTCAAAGTGTTGAATAATATATGAGACGTGTGTGTCTACACATGTATACATATTCTACATGTTTGTGGATTTTTTTGGCCATTCAAATGTGCTTGTATTGTAGCTCAGTATAAATTAGGATTTAAGTCTTTACAGATTGAATTACAAAGAAGAAAAAAGTAGTAGTCAAAAATGCAGAACAAAATAATACAATTAGCCTTTCTGTGTAGTAGTTAATAAATGCTAAAGCTACAGATGCTGGAAGTTAAATGGCATACTTAGGGAACATGAGCAAAGTATATTATTACTCTGTTAGCCAATTTAAAATGTAAAAACTCTATTTTAGGGGTTCAGATACAGTATGAATGAACTAGATGTCTATTTTGAATTTCAGTGGTAAATGTTCCTGTAAGTAAATTGTTCCGATTATGCAAAGGGCAATGATCATGATAACAGAAGATATGGTCGGTCTGTTTGTTGCCAATAAATGATATTGTAGGATTGGCTCATTCCTATTTTTGCCATAATTTCTTACATCTGAGTCAGAAATTGTTTCTGCTTTTTTCTTAATGGAACAGTCGTTAGGGATGAGGTGTGGCTACTTTTTGCAAAATTTAGAAAACATAACAGTCATTTATTTAAATTAATATTTGGAAGTTAGCAGAAAATGGCTGAGAGTTTTAGGAGATGGTTTGTTTGTTGGCTTTGCTTTCATTTTGCCTTGTCTTTCATGTTCAGTGGTTAGTGATGCAGATGTTCATTCTACCTTATATGCTGAAGCCCTCTATTAATATTTATTTACCGAATGGTGAAAGATTGAGGTAGTATCTTTTTTGGCAGTTGGCAGTTAATTGTTCTCAGCTAGAAGGCAGTTAGCTTAGGTATCTTAACCCAACTGAGGCTGACGGAATCACTTTGAAACTTTATCTAAACCTGTGTATCTGTGTCTGTGAACAGAATTCTTGAGGCTGTATTTATGTTTTTGAGCTAGGGGATTTAAGATGCTGTTTTATAAATTGTTACAAAGCTGCATTGCAAAAATTCTAGAAATGTAGAAAAGCATTGAATATGCTTTCGTGGTTGATATTTTGAAAGAAAAAAACCTATCACAGAATATTAAAACAAGAATGGTGCTTCCTTTGACCTGTGGGTACTTGCATATATGGGGAATTCTCACACGGGGGGACACTGGTCCTGGACATGATGTTCCATTTGTCATCTAGTTTTCTAAGAGACATTACTCTCCCTCTCACTCTCTGCCACCCCCCCCAAAAAAAGCCCACCTAAATTTATTATTCTTAAGCCTCTAAATTGGTGTATAGTAGCCAAGATGAATACAATGAGCACCAAATCCTAGGCTAAAAAATTACTTGATAATTATAGGTTAGTCCTTTATATGCCAGTTGTGAAGTAGATCTGGTTAACAAGTTACATTTTGTTCCTCAAGATTCCTGGGGATAAAGTGGTGCACAGACAGGCAAAGAAAAACAAGAGGATAAAATATTTGTCTGAAATGATACATAGTCACATCTGAAATTAAGCGAAATCGAATAGTGTTTGAAAAGTGAAAGAAAATCTTTGAGAAATAAGAAGTGATGAAAACTAACCTTGAGGTGGAGCAGGATTGTGTGGCTGCATGTTTTTCTCCCTGGGGTCCCTTAGGGGAATCACCACTTAAGCCAGTAACATTTTATTTTTCAAAAGATGTAGTTGCTTGCAAAGATCAACATTGGCTTCACTTTTTTCTACATGGGCTAGAGCTGAGCTATCCAACACAGTAACCACTAGACAGTGCGGCCATTGAGCACCCAAAATGTGGCTAATGCAAATTGAGATTGCTGAAATTATAAAATATACACCAGGCCAGACATGGTGGCTCATGCCTGTAATCCCAGCACTTTGGTAGGCCAAGGTAGGAGGATCACCTGAAGCCAGAAGTTCAAGACCAGCCTGGGCAACGTAGCAAGACTCAGTCTTCCATCTCTACAAAAAAATAAAAAAAATCAGCCAAGTGTACTGACATGTGCCTGTATTCCCAGAGAGTCGGGAGGCTGAAGCAGGAGGATCATTTGAGCCCAAGAGTTTGGGGTTGCAGTGAGATATGATTGTGCCAGTGGGCTTCAGCTTGGGTGACAGAGTGAGACCCTGTCTCTGGAAAAAAAAAAAAAAAAAAATTAAACA